GGTCCACATTTACAACCACGTGCAGTGTCCACAATTTACATATTTTGCCATAAAGCAATATTTACCTCCGTTTTTTAAAAAAAAAACCCATTGTAAGACAATGGGTTTGCTTAACAACCACAGGTTCACTCACAACCATCGCAAAAATGTCAATCATATGATGACCCGCTTAATGATTTGCAACCATAATTCCAGGCTCAATTACGGTTGTAAGTGGAAGACTACCTATAAATGAATATACTGCTGTGCCTCTGCTGCCAGACCTTCAGGTTAGAACTTGATCATTAAACAGAGTAGAACTAAACTTTATTAAGATAGGTTATGATCAGTGGTGGAATGCTGCCGGTTCAACAACCGGTTCTGTGAGTGCGCACTTTGTGTGTATGTGTGCTTCGTGCACGCAGCGCTGAAAAATGGAGCATTTGGAAGCTTCCAAGTCAGCAATGTAAGTAAAGCAGCTGGGTAGAAAATCAACTGTTCCACTTGATTGAGATGAGTTAGAAAGCAGGAAATAAAGAACAGGATAGAGCAGGGGTCAATGGCCGGGCCCAACTGATCATCAGAGCAAACCGCTTCGCTCCCAGCTGATCGTCAGAGCTATCAGTTCACCCAAACCAGTCCGAACTGGTAGAATCCCACCCCTTATAATAGCAGAATCTACCAAGCCTGATTGTGCTTCTTACCTCCCCTTCATTCAGTCCCAATGAATTAGAGAGGATGTGTTTCTTCTGAATACTCTCTTGTTTCCCAGGCCTTAAAGAATGTCATAGTCGTCTTTGTTTATGTAACAATTCTTGCCTATTTCCCTCAAGGTCCTCTCCCTAGTAAAATTGGTCCTTGAATAGATGGCATATTGAAGTAGAATTCTTTATTGGCACACGAGAAATTTGTCTCCAGTGCATCATAAGCTCTCAGCCCACATACAAGCAGCAAGTGACAAATCACGATCATAACCATAAAATACAATCATCATAAATCATAAAATACAAATTCAATGATGGTCATTGGATACTAAATGAGAAAACAACATAAATCATAATAGGATAATACTAAAAAAAAAAGGCAATCAACGCACGTCCTTTAAACAACAAAATTGTAGCCATGCCAACATGCTATTTTTATTTTACTTTTTTAAAACTTTTGTACACTGCTCAGAGTGGAGCTGGCATCCAATTAATCTCAATAAATAATAATATTTATGCTATTTTGAGGGGTAAACACCAGCAGTGTTTTCTTACAGCAGGCTACTATGATGCACTGAGCCAGCAATTTCATCACAGATTTGCAAATGATAGTCTTGCAGTTGCTAGTCTTAAACAAACATTGCATTTCGACTGAGGCTGACCCAGGCCCTGTTGGATCACTGAGTCTTCACTCCTGGAAACCAGGTTATATATTTACTGGATTACCTCTTTATCTGATCAACTCCCATCCCCTTTCAAGGTATCCCACTGACCTCCGTTGGTTGACATCCCATGCAACCAAGATATTATCGGCTTCTTGGTTAGATTAGTCTGTAATAAAACATTGCATTTGAGTGGAAAAAGAGTTCCTTTTCAAAGCAAGCATGCAAACTGATTATCCTTCTCATCCCAGGACAAACACGGGGAGCTTTCATTACAAATGGACAAGTTCAATTAAATGTTACCTCTTTTTGTCATCCTAGAAGTAGAAATTTTTTGGGGGGGAGGGTTTAAGCCAAGAACAGACATTTGTGGAGAATTATAAAGGTCTTTTCCTGCCCTTTTTCTCCCCCCTTTGAGCCGAGCTGGACAGTCATTCTCAAAATTTCTGACTGGACCGGAAAAGTCACCTTTTCTGAAAATTTTACCGCAGGATTTAACTGTACCTGTATATCTAGAGTGAAGGGAGACTTAGCCTCATAAATTCAAGACATCCTCAATCATTGGCTCAGCAGCGGCACCTAGTGGCCATGGGTGTCCTTGCATTTTGTTTCTCCACATTTTTTCACTTCTCCTTGTGCCTCATTTTCTCCTTCTGACCCTTCTATTTTTCCCATTCTAGCTCACAAACATAAGAAACACGATGCACTGCAACCCTGTGACACTGAATACCCTGTGTTTGTGTACGAGCCGGCTATCAAAGAGGCCAATGGACTAATTGAGTGTGGAGCCTGTCAGAAGTAAGAGAATGGTCTTTATCTGTGCTTCCCAAGGCAACCAAACATTTTGCCCCTTTTCTTCCCGTCCATACAGGTTGCTTGTTATTGCCAGCACTAAAAGAGCAAAATAATTAGTCCTGCTTAAGATCCTGACTATTGCCTTCTGCATGCACCTGCCCTTAAGTTCAGCTACAGAAGTCATCACCCTGTCCTACCCTCAATAAATGGGCTGTACCTGGAGACAGGTATTCCTTCTGGTTCCTAACACTGTGTAGAAGGAAGAGAGAGGGAGTGACCTTGAAGGACAGGAGGAAGAGCCTCTACCAACATTTGAACATTCTCCCTCCAGAGATCAGGATGACCCCAACCCTGCTGGACTTTTCATAAGTCCTTAAAGGCCAAGCTTTGTGCCTGGAAGTAAAGCCCCAGGTTTGTGCAGGGACCTATTTAGTAGTTGATTTAGTCATTATGATGGACATTTTATTCTTGGCTACTACATATTTGTATGTATTGATGTAATTGGTTTTATATTTTCAATTTTGTTCGCTGTCCAGAGTAAGATAGGTAGCCATACAAATTAGGTAAGTAGGGGAGGGAGGAGGTACGGACAGATGATAGATAGATGAGATAAATAGATGATAGATGAGATAAATAGATAGATAGATAGATAGATAGATAGATAGATAGATAGATAGATAG